GGGGGCGCCGGGGAAAGCGGGGCTGCAGCTCCGAGCCTGGGCAGGAGCCCAGGGCGGATTTGGGGCTGCAAAACCCGGTTGAAAATAAAGCCTGAGTGCTTGTGGATACAAAGCTTGGTTCAAAATAAAGCCTGAGTGCTGGGGACTCGTTTCTGGGGCTCAACCCCTGTCCTATTGCTACCCTCTATGACTGAGGAACTGAAAACTGTGGAGCTGTGTCCAGCCCCCAAAGGCTGACTCTGGGGGAAATGGGAGGGTATCGGTGGGGTAGGGCCATAGGACCCTCAAGATGGGGGTCCAGTCACGTTTGACCCCAAAGCCCAGGACTGCAGCCTGTACCAGGCTGGACTCAAGGTCTGAGATGGTCTCTGGGCAGAAGGGGCTAGGGGCCCAGGTGTTACTGGGGGGAGAGGAGGGGCAGCTCCGATGGCCATGGGGGCAAGGCCAGGGACTGAGCTGTGACATTCTCAACAGCCCAAGTGCAGCCCTGAGACCCAGGAGCAGCTTCCAACCCGAGGCAGGGAATGATGTGGGGCTGGAGCTGAGGCAGCGCAGAGCTGAAATAAAAACCACAAGGTGGAGAGCTGAAGTGATGAAGAAATGGAGCTGAAAGAAAAACCTCAGAGCCTGAGCTTGAGCTGAAATAAAGATCCTGGGGCTGAAACACTGTAGGGCCAAGAGCTGAAATCAACCTCAGTGCTGGGGGTTGAGCTGAAATAAAGATCCTGGGGCCGGAATCCCAACTGTAGGGCTGAGATCACAACTGTAGGGCTGGGGGTTGAGCTGAAATAACGATGCTGGGGCTGGGACTGACAAGATGACCCGAGGACTAAAGCTGAAATAAATCCTTCAGGGCTGGAGCTGAAATAAAGGCTGTAGGTTTGGAACTGAAACAAAAACCTCAGAGCTGGAGGTTGAGCTGAAATAAAGATCCTAGGGCTGGCAGGAGGCAGGGCTAGAGCTGAAATAAAAACCTCAGGGCTGGAGGTTGAGCTGAAATAATGATCCTGGGGCTGAAATAAAAACTGTAGGGCTGGAGGTTGTGCTGAAATAAAATGTGTGAGAGTGCAGCAGGAGCAGAAATAAACATTGTGGGAATGGGGCTGGAATAAAGATCATGGGGCAGGGGCAGAAATCCTGACTGTGGGGCTGGGGCTGGCCCGGGCTGGGGCTTCTGTCAG